TGTGTGTGTGTGTGTGTGTGTGTGTGTGTGTGTGTGTGTGTGTGTGTGTGTGTGTGTGTGTGTGTGTGTGTGTGTGTGTGTGTGTGTGTGTGTGTGTGTGTGTGTGTGTGTGTGTGTGTGTGTGTGTGTGTGTGTGTGTGTGTGTGTGTGTGTGTGTGTGTGTGTGTGTGTGTGTGTGTGTGTGTGTGTGTGTGTGTGTGTGTGTGTGTGTGTGTGTGTGTGTGTGTGTGTGTGTGTGTGTGTGTGTGTGTGTGTGTGTGTGTGTGTGTGTGTGTGTGTGTGTGTGTGTGTGTGTGTGTGTGTGTGTGTGTGTGTGTGTGTGTGTGTGTGTGTGTGTGTGTGTGTACTCGGCAGCAGATTTTTTGCAATACACGTCTCGTTGAAGATAATCGAATGTTGGCATTTGTTTGCTTCTTGCCGAGGTTTTCCAGACTCCGCATAAACTTTCTACCATCGTTGGAAAAGCTTGTAGGACGGCGCTAACATAACTATCGCGCAACGTTTCATGAAATCGATCGACATCATCACAGTTACAAAAGGGGCACAATAGCATAAAGTTTGTCACCGTCTCACGTCAATAACAAATTCATCTTTTCCAGGTGCCCTCAAATATGTGCCATATATACTGCACACTCACGCAAAATTGACGAAATTTCGGCAGATATCCCTCTTTAAGTGGATTTTGAAATTCTAAAGAAACCAAATATCAGTGAATATATACAACGTAGGAATGACAGCCATTGAGGTATGCAGTGTGTCCTTCTCGTGCACAAAATGGCACGCATGCACAGTGGGTATCAATGTCATTCGCATATTTCATGAAATTACGTTGCAATAACCGCGCATTCACACTTTATTCTCTGCGCATCAAAAGTGTCAAATACCCTGTATGATGCGCACTATCGCTGAGACATATCAACATTATATATGAGTATATTCTGAAACAGATTACACGCAGACGCATTGCAATATGTTCCATGTGTATCGCAATGTTCAGAAAGTGCAAAGAGGCAAACTCATGACTCCGTATTCAAATCGCTTCCTCCCGTGCATCGCCAAGGGTTTGACGCTAATTTTGCGACGAAGGGATAGGGGCAGTGCCTTTCGCGTCGTCCTAGCTTGCGACTGCTCCTTAAGACAGCGGTCATTAAATGCTTGGTGGTTGCCAGAATGCCTGCCAGTTACACCGTCTCCATTCCTGTGCACCAGTTTACATCTCCGTGCACCTAAAATGCACACCCGGATGAGCAATAAGGCCTATCAGAACGGTGCCTGTCCACAAAATGGGTACATTTGTTCCTAAGGGATACCTCGGGCCCAGGCAGGACCCCGCACACCAGGCACGGCCGTCCGCCCACTTAACCGCAAGTCCGGTGGTCACGCGACATTATTGGTATGCACCGGGCGAGCCGCCGTCGCCCGTAATGTGGTTTTGAGAGCTGCTCCACGAGCCGTCAGGAGTCGTCTGACTGGACGGGAGTTAATGACGTCACTGGGATAAGTGGCTATGTGGCCGCTGAAGTGATGACGTGGGCGGTCGAGGTCTGAGCTTCAAATGCGCTCGAAAATATTCCGACCCGCGCAGGTCCATTGTGTATGTGTTGTTACTGCCTCTGCCGAGTACTTACCTCCAGGCGTAATGCGTTGTGTAATGCAACTGAAGTGAAAGTAGGTTGTAGCAAATGCTGAGGGGGCATCTCGCAGTGCTCCAAATCATGCTAGTCTGTCCGCACCGGCGCACCAGGAGTGACTGGGGAGCAGTGGGGTCAAACAGTGGAGAGACGAGAGGAATCTCCTGAGCTCAGGATCCTTCCTATCTTAATGCCTCGAGGGCGGGTGGGGGGAGTATTCTTATGTTTTAGAAAACCAACAGACGTCTAAAACTGTGAAAAGCACCTACTGGGAACTTCTGGGACCCTAGACACCTCGAACCTAGGGTGCCGCCTCGTCACCACCCAGGAAAGGGGGTGGGGGCATGGGCCCAAATCTCCCCTTGGCCACGCCACTGACAAACGCACCCAGCAACGACTATTGCGTGGTTAGCAACAGTTTGCCACCCTATTTTGACAACAGTGCAAAATATCGAACTACAATGGGTCGACGGTTATATGAAGTGGAAGGTCAAATTGAGCGGGGTTCACAGTAAACTACAATGGTTCAATAGTGACATGAAGCGGGAGGTCAAATTGAGCGGGGTTCACAGTAAACTATAATGAGTTACATGAAACGGATGGTAACAGTCTTTCACCCGCGTTCAACTGTGCCCTACCGCTGTGCTCCTGAACGGGCACAGGGTAACATACGGTTTTCTGATACTGCTATACGGTCTATGGACCTAAATGTGGTTTAATTAAAAAAGTGTGCTATCATCCAAGCTAGCAGTTATGAAACTGCATCTATGCATCGTTACAGGGTAATGGGGGATTTACCCGCAGCTGTCCGGCTACGACGGACTCTGTCCTGTAGTGCCGCAAAGTTCACCATTATCATTTCTGCGGACTACTATGACAAGTTCAGCGGCACATCTGGTCCGCGGAATCGCTTTTGTTTGCTATTTCCGCTTGCTCGCCCGCTTGCTCGCTGGCTGTTTTGCAACACTTAATCCATGGTTGACCATTGTAGCGTCGGAAATTATCACCAGTTGCAAAACTGCGTGTGTGGTTCAAAGGCAGGACCCGAGAAAAGATGAGTGTCATTCTCACACTTAGAAAAATGCGGCATAACGTGCCATTCAAACTGGCATTTTGCTACCGGCCTTTCTCTTCACGCTGCAATGTTTTAGCAAAGCTTAAGCTTATCATGGGCCCTGTGGCACACCGGAATGAGGCATCGCTAAATAGCGGCGGCGCTCGAGATCACGGCACTGATTCGGCTAGCTGAAAAATGCAGAAATGGCACCGATGCTCCGCATACCATGGGAAGGCCATCTACGGGAAAAGTAATCTTTACCTCCTTCTAATAATTGGAAACCTAGAAAACTGTTGTCTGGTGCGATGGCTGTGAAGCGGGTGGTCGCCGCCGGTCGGCTGCGGCCGGCCGCCATAGAGCAGGCGGCGGCGCCGGCTCCAGACGGGCCCCAGGCCGGCTCAGCTCGCTCTCATTGATCCTGCCGATCACGATATCAGGCTCTCGCCCAGGCAGACCCGACGCCGCGTTAAGGTCGGCCAACTATGGCTCTTGAGCGCGGCAGTCCTGCCTGCCTGTTCAAGAAGTTTGCGAAGTAAGAAGGAGCGTGTATGGAGTCGAATGGCCCGCGGCAGACGCGCTGCATAAGCCGCACACAGTCAGCACTGGGGGCGGTGTGGATGTGCCTCGCTTCATCATACGCTGTTTGCATTGCTGTACAACTCGGCGGGTCTCACAACTCGGGCGGATTTCAGTCTTGGTCAGCATCTACACGTAAGCGGGCACTGTGCGTAGTATTGCGGTTAAATTTGGTGCCAGGTTTTTGGCGTATGTTGTGGTACATAAACAAACTAAACTGATAACAAAGCGAGTGAAATAAGAAGGATATCACTCAAGAAGTGACCTACCTCTCCCGCTTTCCTTATGCCCACATTTCTTGCGATGATGATTTAATGATGTCTTAACAGGTTATTTTCAACAAAAATATTATATCACACCCATTTTGGAACTCTAACATCAATGTGCATTCTTGCTCCACGTGTCTTTACAATCAGACGCGAATGCCTTATTCTGCTCTGCACTTATAACGCTAAATACCTAAAAGAACGTGCCTGTATACTAGAAAGCGTTTCTGCTGTGTGCATTTTCTATGAAGTGCAATATAGCATGGTGCATCGTATTGTGATGCGATGCAAGGCCAACTTCAGTTATCTCAATCTAATTCCTATCTATTCATGATGAAATTCAAACAACTCAAACACCCCCAGGCATGCTTTCTCTCACTCTCCCCTCTGCCTGACCTTTCCTTACCTTATTTTGTGACATTTGGGATTTGGAAATGCCATCTGGTCCGTGGGTGGGCCCAGATCTCATCGAGTCCGTTGGAAGTTCCTCGTCTTCGATCTATTCTGGGACAGTACACCGGATGTGCTCAATGCGCCTCCAATCACTTTTGAACCCGGTTGACCACGATGGACTTGGTCCCTTCAGCGTGGAAATCATTCCAGGCATCAAATGTTTCCAGTCCAAAATGATTTCGTCGGATCCTTGGGAGACCCTGAGTATTTCTGAGCTCCCACAGGTGGCTCTTTGTAGTGGAAAAGTAGCCGCCGTGAAGAGGCGGCTACGTTGCATGTGAACGTCTCCGCCAAAGCTGTTAGAATCGGCTAAAGCTGACAGCGACACCCTGGTGATGTGTGCTTCCGCCTGAGTGAGTTGTCTGTGGAAATTATGAGCGGACATATGCTGACGACCAAGCGTTTCCATCACTTCAGATACATTGAAGGTTGGAGAACATCGAAAGTCATACAAGGCAGCGTATCATGATGCATTATAACCGTAGTCTGAATCCGTTAGGTGCCGTGAGGCAGCCACCCGTCAGCCGTATGTCAGTGATCATTAAAGCTTGCACCACACGACATAGGCATATAGCTGAATAAACGGGTTAATCCACCTGCATACTCAAACACGTGAGACGTTCCCGCCGCCACGCGTCCCTCCGCCCACTGTACCCAGGCATGTGAGACGTTCCCCGCCGACGCGCGTCTCTCCGCCCACTGTACCCAGCCACGTGAGACGTTCCGGACCTCCACGCGTCCCTCCGCCCGCTGTACCCAGTCACGTGAGACGTTCCGGACCTCCACGCGTCCCTCCGCCCGCTGTACCCAGTCACGTGAGACGTTCCGGACCTCCACGCGTCCCTCCGCCCGCTGTACCCAGTCACGTGAGACGTTCCCTGCCTGCACGCGTCCCTCCGCCCACTGTACCCAGTCACGTGAGACGTTCCCCGCCGGCACGCGTCCCTCCGTCGTCGTGTTCGAGGCGTGACCGACAGCTGTCGACGACTGGCTCTCCGACATCGCCTTCTGCCCCAGACTGGAGCCGAGATCGTCACCATGCTCAGCTCCCTGCTGATGCTCGCGCTGGGCTGTGTGCTGGCGGGTCAGGTCAGCTCTAACGAGGTCAAGCTCGCCGACCTGCTGAGGGAGCTGCAGCGGGGCCGAGGTGAGCCGCTCTGCCGCAGTTGCTGCAGACAGACCCAAGTGTGCCGCGCTCCTGCTGTTGCTGCGAAGAGGCAGAAGTAAGCCGCGTCTCTGCTGCTGCTGCTTCTGCAGGGGGGGGGGGGGGGGGACTGAGGCAAACCGCGAGCTGCAGTAGACATGCATACAACGCCAAACAAAATATAGACTTTCAAAAACATTTGCGTTGCTGTTGCTGGTAGCTCATTTGGTAACTCATTGGTAACTATTGCATACTTTTTTAAGACAAACGTAACGTATTGAATTCTGTATAAAAAGGTAAACTGAAATAAATGAGCAAATGCAATGACGGTTCCATGCACATTTAAGTTTCATTTATTTACGGTTTACCCAGCCATTATTTCATGCTATGCAGTTGAATCCAGCAGCAATTCATGAAACCATTTTGTTTATGAGATAATACCGGTCAAGATATTTGTTCCCCTTCTAGTTAAATCGGACCATGTGTTAGGTTCCAAAGCCTGCTGTATTGTAGAGCAGCTCTGAACGAACAGGACATGGACTACGCTGATACGCTTTAAAATTGCATTGCTTTTATCATCTATATGTTTTAAAGGTGTGACTTGCCGTGGATACAATCGTTCGATTCATCGCGTCATATACCTTCAAACGTATGACACACCCTGAACAGAATCGTTCAATTCATGTAGACTTTAAGGCCTGGGATCCATAAATTCCCAGAATTCCTAAATTTAGTCAATAGTTCTGTGTAACTTATTGCCGACACCTACAAGTGTTAGTTTCACCCACAGCATTATACAATGTCAATGGTTTTAGCACGATAGATGCGGTTGCATGAAACTGCCTAATAACCGCGATTGTTGCATCCAATACCTTCTCTTTTACAAAAATAGGTGGTACCATGGGAATTTTGTTTAATCGTTGGCTATTTTATATTAAATTCATATTTTTAGGACTTATGAAACGTCCATTGGCACTGTTGAGCAGGTTTCGTTCCTCGTAATTGTGGATGAGAAACCTGCCGAACTACGCAGTTCATTTGAATTGCTGGTAAACCATGATACATTAGCGCATTTAATCATACTTACCTTATTTCATTTTACCGCGGCTAAAGCACTTTGCAGTATATCGTGTAGATATACTGCAAAGGCCCGTGGTCCGTCTGGAGTCGCTTGCATTTCCAGGGCTGATGAAGGCCCGATCCTAACACGGTCCTGGCCGCGCGCCAGACTTATCCGATCACCATGGCACGCGGCGAACGGGACTTCAAATGTTCTATTTCAGCCCCGGCCGAAAGCACTTTATCAGGTCCCGGGGTCCTGATATGAAAACCAATTACAGCAATGAGTGTGTGAACGGAACGCTTCAATCCTGCTGCATGAAGTACGCCAGAACTGTGCTACGACAGTGCTACACACCAGGTAGAACGGTCCAATCCGAATAGTGGGGACAGCGCTAGGTGGGCTGCAACGATCTGTCAGAAGTCACGCGATCTGATCACGTGACCTGTGGCGAAAACCGGGCGTAAGCGGGAGGCCGACCATGTGCGCGCTGGCACTGCGTGAGCTGTGACGTGGTATTTCATGTAACGGGCTAGGAGTCTGATTTAGATGAGCTTGGTCTCAGACTGATGGCTGCCATTTCTATGTCATTAACATCTGGTCGCACATCCAAACACCGATCTAGGTGTCGACAGCAGTGGGGGTGTGCGCTGCAGCGTCGGCTGCAGCGGTCAGCTGCCGTGGATCAGTGTGTTGCGCAGTGCGATGGTGTCAAATATTGAAATGTCACATACTGCGGGATTTGATAGTGACCACTTACCAGCATGGTGGCACAGTAACAGGCAGCAGTAGTTGCGTAGTTTGAAATTACCTTAGTTATCTCTGCAACGTGACTGTTCTGCATGCGGTACACTATTGGTATTTCTGCGAGAAAGACGGGCCGAATGCATTGGACCGATTTTGCGATAAATGGTGACCAAAAACCCCTAGGAGATGCAAAGTTCCTCCCGTAATCGTCCCCGTTTGTCTTACCAGGCTAAAGATAATAGATCGGCATAGTCAAGACCACCAGGATGCAGAGCCCCGTACCGCTTGAATACTTGTATGCTGCGTGTTCTTTATGCAAAGCGGTCATTTTCCTATGCGTCACTATAGAATATAATCTTTGCTATTTTGCAGTCGCTGACGACTAAATTTAGGAAAGCATCCCTGCGACATTGCTTTCATTAGTCTTATTCCTGCTTTCGTTTACTTAGTATGTGATCGGTGTTGCGCAGCGTCGAAGCAGTTTTCCAAAGATCACCGGAGGAAAATGAGCTTACAAGCTGATAACATGGTGGGTGGGCGAGACCAGCACGTGCCAAGACCTCAGCAGGTCTGCTAAGCCTTGCATGCTCCGCGGCGAAAACACCAAAAACAGCGCTTGCGTTGCTGCTGGAGGAACAAGACAATAACATTAAGGTGATCTGGAGCATGCCCCCAGGGTATTCCTGTCTATCGCACTCGGGGTCGGCACGGAACGAAACCTGATTGGCAATGGCACTAAATGGAAGCAGAAGAAACACCAACTGACACCGGAAAGTGCGGGATCTTAGTCTTGTGTTCCGTATATACTCTGATTACCGATCTTTGGGGATCCTATACTGCACCGAGCTGTCTGTCAAACTTGACAGGAACACAGAGTAATCCAGAAGGCAGTCATGAAGCGTAAAGGCGTTTTTAGCACAGCACATCTTTTCCGAGGGACTCTACGTGAAAATATGGTGCTAAGGCATTCGCGATTTCTCCATATCCCGCAAATACTTTGGTTATGGCGATTCTTTGTTTGTTTGCGCTAGAGTCTTTGGCGAATAACTTTAGCGTAAGAATCGGACTCGCTCGTTAATTTGTCACCAGCATGTGCCGCTATATTTGTAGCTAAAAGAGGATCATTGTGCACTTTTATGTCTTCGATCTATCCAAGTTTTGAAAAATTACTCGCTGTGAGAGAGGTGCGTGGGTTATTCTGTGTCTACAACGTTTTGAGGGGGCTTCTGTTCCAAACCGTATTGTGCTGTTGTAAACCTCCTGAGTCTCTTCCGTTTCGCACCGTTTTTCACCACGTTGTCCTACTGCTGATAAGCGCTTGATGCTTCGATATTATTGCTGTGACCTGTGGCCTAGCTAGAGGCGACAGAATGCAATTGCTCCTGAGCGGAAAAATCGCTATCAAATTCGTTGAGATTCGATTTCGTTTGTGCGCGCATTACAAAGACGCAGGGGCAAACCGCTGCATGCACGGGTGTCAATTTGCATTTTCTGTAGAGAGGGCCTTACCCCCCCCCCCCCCCCCAATGTTGTCTTGGTCCCTCAGTATTCTTGACCGGAATGCTACAGAACGCATACGTAAAAGATGACTGTCACACAAAGACTATCTTCTTTGGTCTTACTGCGTGGTGGCGTCGGCATAGAGGAACTAGATGCCCGCAACCTCAAACTATTTCCTCAAAAGATCAGCAGCTTAAGGTCATTGGGGCAAACTTTTCTACACTCAGAGTACTATTTTTTGCCCGTCAAACGTAACCCCAGACGCTTATTCCCGCAACATATACATGACACTGACGCTACTGATTCATTGGTCTTGTGGAAACCTTTATGCCAAACATCATTTTGTCTGCTACTCATGGAAGGCTACGGCACCTAGCACTGTTTTTAAGCCAAAACCCGACTTTCTTTAATGCATGTTCTGATCAGAAAATCAAATTGGGTAACATAATGCTATTTTTGGTGGGGCATCGTTACTGCACAATATAGGTCCAGCTATGAATAGAATATAGGTTATGAATATGAATAGAATATAGGTTCAGCACCATTAATGGCAACGTTGGTGTTTTTACGCATCTGTACGCCCAAACTTGCCTTACACTTTCTGCGGTAAAAGTACAGGAGGATTTAAATTTCATCTGAAGTCCTGTGGTCATTATATTTCAAAGCCTTTCGCTGCATTCTTTTACGATTTCCAGGAAATTCACAGATTTGGGTTTAAGTGAAGGTTTTAGGCTTTCAAAGGAGACGTGCATCGCTGTACGCAGCAAAAATGCCTGCATTCAATAATGCGCAATCGTAGGCATTTAGGTAAAACTTATTTTGTAGGATGATCCATTACCACTTCGTAGTGCTGAGTGAAGGCCACATGACCTTGAAATGTCTTAAGAAGTATGATGTACATCCATTTCATGGACATCTACGCACTGCTCAGAAGCACAATTAAACACGCGCACGGTGGCTGGTTGATTGCAACTTCCAGCGCGGCTACAAAAAATTTTCTGTGGAACTGACCGTACCACTTACTCATATTTTCAACCGGTCATTGCATGAAAGGTGCGCGCCATCCGTGTGGAAGGGAGCAACAATCGCTTCTGTGACAAAGAAAACATCGCCCAAGTTGCCAGGAGATCTGCGACGAGGAAGGTCTTGCTTTACTGGTGTATTTTAATTACAAATGTTATCTTGCAGAGATAAAGATACTCATAGAGATTACCACTTTTCCACACCGACTTTTAGCAAGGTTTTGGAAAAATTATTGTTCCGCAAATTCTGGCGGATGTAAAGCCAAGCATAGATGACCGCCAATGCGGAAATATGAAAGTGTCTGAACGTCACACTATTAAATTAGGTAGCTGCATGATTTGCTGACGGAGTTAGACGAGGCAGACACAATATTTTTCATGTTTATGTACGATTTTAAGAAGGGATTTGACCTCATTGATCATACGACAGTTATCCAGAACATGCTTGCAATGGATCTTCGCCCGGGTATGCAAAGTGGCTATGCTCATTCTTGCAGGACCGACAGCAGCGGGTCAGGATGACAAATGGAACCATGAGCCGTTGGAGAACCATAACATGCGGCACTCCACAAGGCACTTTAGTTGGCCCGGCTGCTTTCCTGGCTATGGTTTACGGTACCGCTGCTGATATTGACGACCGACTGAAATATGTAGACGACCTTGACATATACCAG